AAGTCTCTAAATTTAGTATTTTTGATTATTTTAATCATATGCACTCGCGGCATTTGAAATGCTAAATCCTTTTATTCTAATCGAAAATAAAGTACAGTTGCGACGTACAAAGTTGACCGAGTCTACAATAATCTCGTTTCGATAAAAACTGTGCGGACTTTGAATTTCGGGTCGTTTTATATAAGTTATATATACACATTGCGAAAAATTTTTTTTCTCAATTCTTTTTTTTTCACACTCGCCTCGCGAATTAATGCGTAATATGCGATTATGCGATGTCGTCTGCATTAAACGGATGCAAGGGGGAAGTCTTTAACTATTAAGAGAGAGAAAGTTTCGGTGTGTGAAACGTATACCTGCCGCATCGATCGTACATTAGGCATTTAGGACACACTAGGTACAGTGTTTTACACATTCAGGACACGGTAATGGCACTAGAGTAATAATCGCCTCCCTCGTCGAGAGGCGTACAATATATGTCGCTTGTCCGTATAATTTTTCTCACAAAGAATTAATACGTCGATGTAAGAAAATGTGGACGCTTTCCACAAATTTTCTCGTAGAATTTATAAGAATTTTATTATATAAGAGTTCATTGATTAAAAATATTTAGCACAATAAAAAATATTAATATATGCACTTAGTGAAATTAATCGGACATATTTTATATCTTATTGTGGTAAATTCATATTTTGGTGGATATTTTAATCAGAGAAACTCTTATATAAAATTCTTCCAATATTATACTATCTTCTCGTATGTATTTATGACAAATTGGTGAAAAATTAACTTTGTAGGCAAATATAGTCGGATGTTAATATTACAAAGGAAGTGAATCATTTAGTAGAGTTTAAAATAAAAATTCAGGATGCAAAATTTCGCTTGTTCGATATGCATGTATCTTCTATTAAGTTTCCTGCGAATTAATCTGTTTTTTCACAATGCTAATTGTAACACGAATTCTTGGAATTCTCTAATAACCGGAATATTATTAAATTTTTCATTCAATTCGTGGAATTACATCGGCTAAGTAAGTATTTTAAAGCATTGAGCATAAAGCGCCCACGAGCTTTTCTCTTTGATGGGGGATGTTGGAGGGACAGAAAGGAGGGAATCGCATTTCACCGTTACATTTTCACCGCGTTAGCGATGGATCGAAGCAATTAGCACTATCTGCTTCAATACGGCATATGGTTGCAAGAGATAAAGGAATCGCTTTCTATTTCTCAGCTGACGTCACTGCCGATCGTGTAGCACGCTGCGTATACGAATACAGAGGCTCCTTTAATTACTTTTAACTACTCAAGCACCAGTATTTTTTAACAACATTATAGAAAGAAAGATCTATTTTATCTTATTTGCGATATACAAAATTCGCGGTTATTTCATCCCTTCGAAATACCCTTCTTCATAATCGCAATAAATCGCGGATGTTTTTAATATTCACGTACAAATTTTGATTAAACTTTGGAAGAGATATTAATAGATTTTTAACAAAAATGTACTTAAACGTCGCCATTTTTCCAACATTTTAATTAAAAATTTTGTGCGACCTATACTCTCTCTCTCTTTCTCTCTGTTCATATATTACATTTTAATTACTTATAAGAACAGAATTGAGTTCATGTCCTGTTTTTTATCTTTCATCCCAAAATCCACAAATCTTTGATATTAAATTTCAAGTTATTTCATAACGCGTTGAATAAATTTTATTAACTCTGCTGTTCCACATTTGACCCATTTTTATTTTTAATATGCGCGATGTTAATTCTATGTTGGCTCTGACAATTTTTTTTAATTTCACGTTTGATCAAAATCACATTATTATTATTATTATTATTATTATTATTGACGCAATAAAACGTTTGCGCTAATGAACGCGGCGGCGGCGTAGAATTGAATTTTTTTCAAAAAGAAAAAAAATACAGGATTGATGCATGCGTGATGCAACGATTCCTTGCGCCATTCGCGAATGATTTAACAGCCACGCGTGTCAAAGGTGAAGAAACGTCGCGCGTTTGTCAATCACCGATAATAAAGTTGCGGACGCGATGAACGTTTCGGTGCATTTCGCACTTTTGCCACGAGCAAAACAAAAGCAAGTTGCATGTGTAACGATGCGGTGAATCATCCTCCTCATGCGATTAGGGGGCCGAGTTTTCGTGCCGAAGCTCCTCGTTTCGCCGGATGATTTCTCTCACGCCATCGTATCGAGAAAAGATAAGGTCTTTTTTAATTGATGCCGACTGAGAAACAACGCGAGCTTCTTCGGACTCTTTCAACGGTTTGCGTTAATTACTGAACGAAAGACAGAAGCGTCCAAATCATTTTTTTTCTACAAATTTTTAATTACAGTGTGAGAACATAAGACTCGTCAATTCTTTTTCCTTAACGAAGGTATCGAAAGTTGAAGATGGGCTTTTCGCGAATTAAATTTCAGAATGAGCGAATAAATAATGTTGATTCGAAGGAGATTTTAGTAAAAGAAATTATCTTGATTTGAAACTTGGATTTCAAGTTGAGATATTTCAAAATTTAGGCAACAAATAATTGCGACAAAATAATACTTGATACTTTTCTTCAGGAAAAATTTAGTGACGTAAGACTTACAAGGAATAGGTGATCCAAGTTCAGTTATTTTTTTTAGAGACACCCTATATATCTTTCTCGTGTAATTTATTGTTAGTTTCACGAGAAAATTCAGTTATCTCGTTATCTCGGAATAATATTTTTATTTGCGTATCTGCAAAAAGAGTTATCTCGGGTTAGTAAGACAAGCGATTAATGAGACCTTAAAAATTCTTTTTTATATTTCAATTATTTAGTATTTATTTAATATTTATTTAATACCTCTAAAAAATTCTGATATATGGATCTTTGATTTTTTCTTTTTTTTTAGCGAATTTTAAAAGAATCAAATTAATTGAAATAAAAAAAAATACACATGGAATTAAAGATTTAATTTCGCGATTTATTCGCGAATTCGTTGACCCATTGCAAAGTTTATTTCTCGCTCTTAAAAACGCTCACCACTTAAATTAATTCCTTTTCCTCTCGACACGCTAGCGATTTATTTGGGGCCCAAAACATTTTATTTGGTTGCACTTGTGGCTAATTTTATGCTGCATATCGTATTAGTCTCGTATTTATAATATTATAAAAGTAATATATATATATCGCAGCCGTGTCTTCTCGTTTATCAATATTTTCGATTACCTATATTATTGCGATTTTGAAGAGTGCATTGCAATAATAATATCAAATTTTTTACATAATGCAAAAATGCGAAAATTAATATAGTTGACAAAATCAAATAGCGAAATAAATCCTACTTACAAGAACGTAAAAGTAATTGAGTTTTATAAGTTTATTAAAAACATTTTTTTATATCAACAACAAATAATCGTTTTAGTACACTTTTTGATTAAAAATGTTGAGATTAACATTAAATGTGCAGCGATTAAAACTTCAACGCGAAGAGGAATGTTAGAAAAAAAGTAACTAAGATTGAACAGCTTGGAAAGTTAGACAAACTTCTTTTCACTCTTCATGCTTCATACACAATCTGAAATACGAACAAGTTCTATATATCTTCCTCGATACTTATACGACATTTCTTTTTCTTCTTTATAAAAATCTATTCTTATCTCGAGATTTTTTAACGATATCTGACCTTATAATTATTATCTCGTTAAAACTAATTTTCTTATAGAGCACATTCTTTTCAAAACTAAGATAAATATTCCCTCTGCAAAATGCCTTTACTGTAGAATGTGGAAGGAAGACAGAGAGGGAGAGAATGTTACGTTTATTTTGATTTGCGTTATGTTAGTTAAAAAAATTCACAGTCGCACACGAATTAGCTCGCCTCTGCTCAATTATCAATTCCAATTGAAAAATACGTTCTCTCTCCTACAGATACACATGCACATCGCAACGTCGTCGCGCATGACATCGTTCTCTTTTATTCCGCTTGAAAGCCGCAATCTCGCAGTGGTAAACGATTCGACACTTTGTTTGCCGGTCCGTGGGCTCTGAAGCACAAGTACGCGGGGCGCTTTGCGAACTTGTTCTCTCGTACGCACGACACCGGAATCGATATATATGAAAGTGACACGCGCGCGCGGACAGAGTTTTCCATTCAATATTAGGTTTTAAAGCGCGGTCCAGTTCTGTCGCTCTCCCAGCACTCTGCTGTCGCGTTTGTCCATTATCGCGCTTGTACCTATAGCACCTCGCGTTATGCGCGAAACGCGTTAAATCCCAGAAAACCTGGAGATTTGTTTGAAAACGAAGCGCCTCTCTATCGGCCGATGTAACTTTTCCTTCAAAAAAAAATTGCTTCTACAAATTCCTTTTGAATTTTATATGCATTCAAATTACGCATTTTTTATTCACTTTCGATTTATTGGTACGATATTATATTCTTCGTTTTATGAATATAGCGGAAAATTATACACGCGAGAAAATACGCATACTGTAAAAAAATATGTAATATATTACACAAAAATATGTAAAATTACATAAATAATAAGTGTAAAATTACACGATGAATAATAGAAATGTTTACCTTTTTATTATTTATCATGTAATTTTACATTTATTATTTATGTAATTTTACATATTTTTTTACATTGCACGGAGAGACTTTTCTCTTAGAATTTATCCCGAAAATCATAGTAATCATGGAATTTTATGAGTTTCTCTGATTATTTATCACAATAAAAAATATTAATACATAAATTACAATACATAGTAAAATTGATCGAACATATTTTATATTTTATTGTGGTAGATATTAATATTTTTTATAATCAGAGAAGCTCTTATAAAATTGTTCCAATATCATATTGTCTCACGATTACCATGATTTTTAGGGTAAATTCTAAGAAAAAGTTCTCTTTGTATAAAAACTTCAATTTCTTTGATATATATTTTATTATTAAATTAAAACTTTGTAATCCCAAATTTTTAACGAATGTCTCTTTTTTCTGTTACAGTGTTCTTAATATTCCATCCAGTGATTTTGAAGACTTGCCTCTTATCCAAGACGTGGTGCCACAATGGGTCGAAAGAAGATTCAGATTTCACGTATCACGGACGAACGGAACCGTCAGGTAATTCTAGCCAATGAATGCTCTTCATTTATATATAATTTAATATTAATTGCAATTAGTATTAGTTGCAACTGGATAATCTTTTGCATTTCATTTTTATAAAAAAATATCAAAAGAATTTTAAGTACATTACATTTTAAATATTCCTTTTTTGTTTTTCTACATAAAATATATGATAATATGCATGCATAAATAAGATAACCGTCTTGAATAAAATGTACATAATTATATGTACATTTTCTATACTTACAGTAATAAATATTATACTCGACAAATAATTATTGATACAATCTTATGCAACGTGACTGATTGAATAACTAATAAAACGTCGAGGAATCGATTAATTATCACGAATATAAAGTATTCGCGAGTCCACCTCTCGAATAGTCTTAATAGGCTTAAGAGATCTTTGCTGAAGTTCACCTTCAATGCGTCCCTCTCTCCTTTCTATGCGACAGGTGACCTTTAACAAGAGGAAATTCGGCGTGATGAAGAAGGCGTACGAATTGTCGGTACTTTGCGACTGCGAGATCGCGTTGATTATCTTCAGTTCGAGCAACAAGCTGTACCAGTATGCGAGCACCGACATGGACAAGGTTCTCCTCAAGTACACCGAGTACAACGAACCCCACGAGTCCCTCACCAACAAGAATATCATCGAGGTGAGTCCCATTTATCCGTTACGGATTCTCAGGACGAAATGAGGATGCGCAGACACGAGTAATTTAGTCGATCGTTGCTAAATTTTCGCGAAACGCATTTTTTTCTCGTTATAATCGTAAAATTAAGGAAATGTAAACCTCACATTTGCGTTCCAGATATGTCAAGGTTATACAATCATATCGAATGTATAGGGTGTATTTAAAAAATTCGAATGATGAAACTGTAGAATTTTGAAAAGATTGTATGAGTGCTTTAAAATATGTATGTGCGTATATATATTTGAATTATAAATTCTTGCAAATTTTTTAAAAAGTTCTCAAGAAATCTAATTAAATTTCAAAGATATAAGGAAAGATACGATAAGAGTAGATAATGAGATCAAAATTCACGAATAATTTTTATAATTTGATTTAAGATTTATAATTTATCCTACTGGATAAATATCAAGATATTTTTTTAAATCGACAATCGAGAAAATGTAAAATACGCAATGCTTTTAAAAAATATATCAAAAAATATTGTATATTAAATAGCATGATATATCTTACGGCAAGTTTATTCATACATACAAATTAAATTGCTATTTTGAAATAATATTAAAAGATCAAACAATTCTATTAAAAAGATTAATTTTTTAGTGTATATTTTTTTCTAAATTTTATCGAAAATTTTACGCGTTAATAGATATTACAAGGAATTACCGACGTTTTAGATAGTCATGCGTCTTGCGCGTTTTATATCCAGTCTCGTTTTAATGGGGAAGTGAGATGCGATCTCTCGTTCTTTTTTTTCTTTCTTGCACGAACATAATTGCGTTGAGTAAACCGGGTATAAAGTAAGAAGCGCACGCGCGTGCTTGGTGTTAAATTAATGTGCATGTGAAGGTTGAGTGCCCTCGGGCGGTGTGGTCACGTGAACCTGTCTGCTGACACTTGCAGGCGCTCAACAAGAAGGAGCATAAGGGTGCCATGTCTCCGGAGAGCCCGGAACCTGACGCGATCGAATACAATCTTACCCCGCGCACCGAGGCCAAATACACGAAGATCGACGAGGAATTTCAGATGATGATGCAGAGGCACCAACATAATGGCAGCAGGGTAAATATTAATATCAAGTTTCAAATGTCAGTCGGGTTCAAAAGTTATTCTTTCTCTCTTTTATTTTTTACATATATATATATCCATATTTGTTATAAAAGAGGGATATAAGTATGTAGATCTTTTTCAAGGCGCGTCAAATCTCTCAAAATTGTCACATCAAAAATATTTCAAGCTATAATTTAGTTTCATGCATTTCTATTAAGAGCATCCAACAAATTAATCCCTCAAATTCGCCTTTGTCAAAATGACTGACGTGCAAATATATCATTTATTTATAATCTTATTACGACCTGTCATAGAAGGTTTAGATCGATTTCTCTAAATGCGGTTTGCGATTATTTTTGCGCTTATTTTTGTACATAGAAAAATAAGACACAATTATTAAACACTTTATGTAATATTTAATTGCTTATACAGTTATATTATATTTTTTTATATAATATTTTCACTTTATATCGCTGTAAGATATGACAAAAAAATTAGATACGAATTTGTAAATACATATTTCATTATGTTACAAAGTTGAAGGAAAACGTATCCATTAGCAAATTGCAAATTTGCCACAAACTGCTCCCGATAGTGCTTGCACATCTATCTTTGCCGCAGGTATTATTAATTTGCATTGTGTCGGTTGTGATTGCAGACAATGGGACAATCGAATTACACGCTACCAGTAACTGTACCGGTGAACAGTTACACCGAATCTCTCCTTGGATCTAGTCCACAGATGGCACATACCAGCATCTCTCCACGTCCGTCATCGTCCGAGACGGATTCAGGTAGCTTTTAATTAGAGAACAGAAGGGAGTGAATTCCTGACACTTTGAAATTCGCGTCTAACACGTTGAACTCTTCGCTGTACAGTGTATCCTCCGGGAGGAATGTTGGAGATGAGCAACGGCTATCCTCCGTCAGCGTCACCGTTGGGTGGTTCACCTAGTCCAGGACCTTCGCCTGCGCTCGGAGTCGGTGGTGGTAGCGGAAATAAAGGCAATCCGTCTAGGCATTCGCCGCAACCCCCGCCCCCGCCACCACCGCCTCATCCTCACAGGGCTAACCTTCGAGTGGTTATACCGACACCACTCACACAACCTCTCTCTGAAGACACTAATTACGATGTAATTGTTTCATTATTCATTTTTCTAATACGAGCCACTCAGAAGTCAAATTAGTCAACTTTACTTTTTGAAAATTTCTTAATTTTAGCTCATATGATTAGAGAGTACTCTGATATTAAAATTAAGATATTTTTCTCAAAGAGCGGAGTTGATTAGTTTAACTTTTAAGAGCTCATATTTTGCTCTTTGTTTTGTAATTATTCAATTTTTTTATATTTATGAGTTAAAAAGACGTTTGTCCGCTTTAAAATAGCGTTGAGAGATGAAATTGAGAATTAAAAGAAATACGAATGAAGAAATAAGTTTTTTCTTATCAATAAATGTTTTTAAATAAAATAAATTTTGTATGTACTTACTAAACTTTTATTTTTAGAATGCCCATACGCAGTCTGCATTGAATACACCGGTAGTAGCGTTACAAACACCAACAGTACCAGCCGGATATTCTAGTTTTGGACCAACAGACTACTCCTCGGATCTCGGAAGCCTTGCATGGTCTCATCAGAGGTACGTTGATGACTTATCAATGTATTCGGCAGCCACCATGTCCAGCATCAGGTAAATCATATTTTATAATTATTGTTGTGTGAAAGAAAGCTATATATCCAGTTAGTATGCCATACTTTTAATGATTATTTTCTTCATACTCTGTACTTGATATACAATGTCGATATTAAAGATTGAGGGTACATATACGTATGAAATATTACATATATTTAAATATAGATCAAATCTAATTATATACAAGACATATTTTACAATAAATTCAGCATTAGTTTTTATTTTCTCATTTTTTCCGTAATTCTTTTATAATTTATATAACATACTTCTTTTTCCTTTTTTTCTCATTTATCTATTGTGTGTGTGTGTATATATATATATATAATACTTGATAGAATAATATTCACGCTTTATTATATCTATTGCTGATAGAGAATAATAAGATATCTCGATCACTGGAGCGCTATAGTTTTTTTTCGGTTGCAATGTTTGGCATGTTATATTACATTGTGAGTGTTGGATTATATTTTTCATTTTTATTTATAAATATTTATATTGTTTTTATACTCTTACATTAGAACCTGTTATATCGCAATGTATACATTTTATTAAAAGTATATTTTCATGATTTGCATCATGAATCGAGTTTCACACATTGGCATTTATATTAATATAATTAAACGTTGATATAGTATTAGAAGATAATATCCGGAATAATTACAGTTTCTTGCTCGATTAAATCATTAAATTCCATAGTATTTGCATACAGCAGCTTTTCCTCTTAATTTCCAATCACTTACACGAGTATTTTCTTTAGTATTATAATACTTTTTCGACATTTTACAGTGGTCTTCCTCATCTAGCTGTATCAAGCAGTACACCACCACCATCCACATCGCCTTTACCCGTAAAGATAAAAAGTGAACCGATAAGTCCACCCAGAGATCCGCATGGCAACAGCGGGTCCAATGGTGGACCCAGCAATGCTAGTAATCTACATCATACGAGCTTGAACGTCGGTCCTTCGTCCAGTAGCGGTCCGCCGCCGCATCACGTGTCCCATCCAGGAGGCCCTCAGACACTGAACCTAGTATCGAGCAGACCGAGCAGTAATCCACCTCCGTCCCACTCTGGTAGCATAACGCCGACAAATCTACCGTCCCCGGGTAGTGGCGCGGTTGGTGACATTAGAACGAACCATTCTAGCGGTGGCGGAGGGAACAGTTCCGACTACGAGAACGGACCGCTCATGAAGCGCTCGAGAATCACGGAGGGTTGGGCGACTTAATGTCGATCGAATTGTTGCACTCGTCAGTTGTTTGATACCTCCTCAACGTACAACGGCATATATAGTGCTTGTGAGTTCCAGTATAATTAAACACAAACAAAACGTCTTTAAAAAGACCTTTTAAAACGTCTTTGAGATACGTGTACTATCTATCGCGATAACGATAACTGTGGGGGTGGTATGTTTTTCCCCGCTGTAGCTAGCGCGAAGTGAAAAAATCTGTTTATATTTTGAAGCCGACACACACACAGAATATACATTTATTTGAAGGGAAAAAAAGAAAATACGGTGCCATAATGTTGAAACTTTATATATATATATATTATATATATGATAGATACATATATATATATTTTCATGTATATAATATGAAGTGTTGTTTGTATATATGTCATAAAAAAATTCGTAATAACTTTTGCGATATGTCATTGTGTCTAACGATGCTTGTCGTATGAAAATTTATGCGAAGGGAAACAGTATGTTTTAGAAAATAACACAGTACCCAAATGTAAAATTTCTGAAAGTGTAACTCTGAGAATTTAAAAGAGCTTGTGAAATCTGCACATAGTGTAAGATTGATAAAGACCAGGAAATCTTTACCATTGCAATTTGTTGTTGTTTTTTACGGTATAGTAGTCAGAATATATATGCCATAATCCGTTAATATATTTCGCGCTGCAAAAATATATTTATGCCACAATCATTTATTTTTTAGAATAATTATTTCACAGCCAAACTTTCTTTTTTTTATTTTTTATTATTTCTAAAATTTATATTGATGAATAATTTCCTGTTTTATTTCATACTTGAATTTTTATTTTCTCGGACTAATCTAATTAATTTTACTATTAATGTGAGCTTATTAATGGTCTATGGCTAACTTCCCAAACATACGGAAAACGGCTGCTGTACTCAAATTATTCATGATATTCTATAGAACAAGATTCGAAATTAATATATATTGAGTTAATACGAGATAGATAGATAGGCATATTATATATAATAGTGTTGATTAATAAAAAAAAAAAGATATACACACAGCGCGCATACAGATATATATACATATATATACATATATATATGTATATATATATATACACGTTATATACATTTTCCACAAGTATTTTGCACATTTGTATAAAGAAAAATTGTGGAGGAAGAAAGCCTGTAAGAACTTTGCAACCCTTGAAGCCTAAAAATGTATAAACAAGAGTTTATATGCCACAAATATATGTCATGTACTAAAAATGTGATTAAACAAAACTTATTGTAAGGAGGATTGAGTGATACTAATATTAATAACTTTAATCGTAAATTTTTAAAGAAACCGAAATTCTACATCTACAAAAATACTGTTTTATGTATATTTCATCAGTTTTATGTAACTTGTAGTTTTTTTAATATACACAATTAAAGTTTTTTCAGAAAATAATTAACAGTAAATAGAACGTGGAACGTGGATTTGTTTAAGAATAAATATAAGAGATCTTTCTTCACACACAAATCTTTTCTGTGATATACAAGAATTTATTATAGAGAAGAGATTGTTCTATTCGATATCAGAGAAACCCTTTTCGGCTACCACAATCGTATTAAATGTAAACTTAAAAGTTATTTGGCAAAACAGGGTTGCAATTGTGTAATGACATAGAATTTACCTTCTTCCTAAAATCAGTGAAATGATAAAATGTGTCAAGACGGTTTCAATGTATGTTTTACAATCTCAGGATGTATCCTGGTGAGAATCGCTCTCTCTCTCTCGAGAGTTTGTATTTGATAAATTATTGTAATTAACGTACTAATGGAATACGCAGGTATATGAATGAATAGTGCCTGGCACCATTTGTGGCCCTCCTGTTAGGATGCTTTCCCAAATCGTATATGCAGTACAATTTGTTAATAAAGTCTTGAAAATAATAAGCTCTACTTAAGCGCGATATATATATATATATATATTATATATATATATGAAAAAACGAGATATATGATGTTGTAAGCTTTATAATGTGACTTTTTGACAAATAGCATGGGAAGGCAACCTCTATATTGTAATTGAAGGTTGTACAGTGATATACATATAACCTTCGAAAATATTCATTTTCTTTATTAACGCATATTAGAAATGTTTGATATGACTGTACGAACAATCGGTATGCGAAAAAGCGTAATGCGTATAGTCACTAATTTTAATCACGAATTTTTAAAATGATCACAAAGTGCAATCTCTTAGCCAACACACTTTTTTATCAAATAAAAAAATATAAAGAAATTGTTATTTTTCATAAAAAAGAAGTAAAATTTAATGTATTAAAGATATATATATATATACATATATATTAATGTCTCCACTAGTTATTAAACTTTTTCTATTGACACAAAATTTATTATATTTAATTGATATTTTAATTGTAATATATTCTATTCATATATTACAAAAAAGATAATCGTATATACCTGATTCGCATTAAATGCTTGCAAATAAATTTATATTTTGAAATTGATATTACATGATTTAAATAATATGCATTTGATTCATATTTTCAATGGGAACACAATTAAAGGCAATTTCTTGACATTTTATCAGAAACTATTATGTTCTCTATATTGTGGTATTTTCTTTTAACTTTGGATAAGATAAAAAATATTAAAATTTCAGCTTTATATTGGCATATCGCATTTAATATTACAATTCCTCTATTTATATCTCACGCAGAATATAATTCAAATTTAATCTTGACAAAACATTATACAAGAATTCAGAACTTGTTAATTCTTTCTCTGAAATGCCCTATTGTGATATTGAAACTGATATATGATCTTTCTGCATAATAATCCATCTAAGATCATTTGGGTATTCTGACGTCAACACTTGTATAACAGTCGCAGTGTGATGTGAAAAGCATGAGCAGTACTTTATATGCAAGGTTTATATGTGCTATCTGATCTATTTTACCATAACATACAGTAATAAGATGATGCATAGCGAAACCCGTAAGAATAGACAATTTGTTAAATATACGTTAAGTACATGTACGTACACTTCAATGTATATTTTTAATATGGAATACATGTAAGTTATATATATATATCTGTGAGAAAAAACACGTTAATGTAATTAAAATTGTATTCGTCTTGATTGGCACAACTAATGAAGGATACATTATTATCAACATCGCAGAATAGAATGAAGATTAAAAATCCTGTGATTGTGTCTGATTTTACAAATATTTGGGAACTATTTTAAAATTATTTTAAAATCATTTTTTAAAAATAATTTGGAACAATGAAAGATGCGTTAGTAATTCTAAAAGAATTTCACATCCCGGTGATCCTAGAAGCTGTATTCTTTTAAATAAGTTTCTTCTTTATTTAATATATCTGAATAATTCAAAGCACTGTTCATTTATATAAAATTGTGCTAATTTGTGTGATACGTATTATTATCTACGAAAAATTACGATTGTTTATGGTGTTTCTTCTAAATACTCTTTAGTTACTTGCCGTGAATTATGATCGTATAGTTGTGCCTCAAGATTTCGACGGATATTCAATACGTAAAAAAAAAAATAATGATAATTATTTGTAGTTAAAAACTCAGAGACTATTGAAATTGTTGGAATGCTGTGAACGAAATGGACCATCGTTAGAGGAGCCATACGCGTAAGATAAACGAGATCTATGGATGATAAGACGTTTTATATTGCAACGTAAGCTAAGATTGTTTTGGAACAGGGCCATCATAGGCTTTAGGCAAATGTTCGCAAATAATCGAATTGCAATGCACGGCACAAGTACCAGAGATCACTGTAACAATGTAGCAAAATAAAATATAAAATGTATATGTACTAGCCACAACTGTTGTCACCACAAATAAATATATATATATATATATATATAAATATATATATATACAATTAAGAGTTTAATACAGGTTTAAGTACTGGACATATCTGTAAAGCCAAGTAGCATCACATTTTTAAACGTCATAACAAATATCGTCATTTTACTGTTATTATCTGTATTTGTGCATTTTGAAACTATACACGAAAAGCGGTATAGCCTGTTTGATACGTACACAATCACACCAAAAGTTATAGGATCTTTCGCATATATATTTTTTAACATATTGTTATCATATTAATTTTCTCTTGCTTAGTTTTGAAATGCACTCTATAAACAGATAAAGTATGTATGACCAGGAAAAAAGAGGAGGGGGGGGGGTGACATACTTTAAACATTATTATGTAGTATATACACACATATTTGTATAATACAGTTTAAAAGAGAGAGGTTGTATTTAACAATTCCTCATAAATTGCGTATCATACTATTATTACGATTAATTTCAAGCCGCAGTTACACATTGTACAATGTATAAATTTTAACCAAAACTGTATGTATATTTACATATACGTAAACACACGCATACACATATACACACGTACACAACAGATTTGCATCATGCATACACCGAATGGATGCATATGTGGATATATATGTATAAAAATTATTATATAATGATATGTAATAGAGAGTAATGACATACACACAATATTATAGTCGTGCGTTATGTTAGTTGATAATTGCGAGAATAAAGGAAAGTAATTCATATAGTGCCATCGTAACTGACTAATTAAGGGAAATACCGATTTTATGTTTTAAGTAGAGAGTATATCGTATTAGAGAATATTTGAGGAAAAGAAATACTTACAAAACGTTACAAGACAAAGACTCGGTTTATGTTTGTAATAATAATAATTAATGATGTTTGCCAAGTTTGTTACATAAGTACGAAGCCATTGAGAGATATTTTATGTGCTAAAAAATCTTTTCAAGACATACTTTATCTCCTCTTATGCACATTCAATAGTACTTGAGTGTTCGTTAAACACTCTCGTGAAAGGAGGCGGAATTAAAGAAAAAAAATCTCGTTTGTACGTTATATACCCTTGGTGCTCGACATTTTACCTAGTTATTGTTATACGTTTATTATTATCGAATCTGTATGACCATGCTACCATATCGCCTATTATTGTGGTCAGTATAATCATCATCGTCTCAAAGTTTAGCGATTAAATAATGATTATTTGATAACGCTCTGTGTACATCACACAACATACATACAACATTGTAAAACACATACACATTGTGGTTATATTTCAGTGTATCAGCATAATGAATATGATTATTACGATGTTGCCCATAGAATATATACATTTTACTTGGTTTTTACATTTGGCAGTATTTTATTTTAGTATTATTCCACATATATCCACCTGTGTAGCTTTTTTAACGCTCAAACTTGTAACTTGTGTACGTACAGAGACTATGAATTTTCATTTTGTATATTATTATCATTATTATTTATACTTTAACAATGAGATAAATCGTTGAAATTGTTTCTCGTCAATTCGTAATTGTTGCTCGCATGCTGTGGATTTATTTCGCGATATATTATTTGTATCTCTTCGAGATATTGTGTGTGCGATTATTTTACTAATTTGACATATGTAACATATTACACGCTTACTCGATTAGTTTCTTATCATAGAATAATATTGCTTGTTAATATATCAATGCTAAATATTCGAATAATTTTTTTCTTAGATAATTGTATAGCATTATTAACATGTAAGAATACTGCTGTGTTTTATATCAATTATATATTGCGTTTTCTTTAAAATTTCTCTTTTATCATATATTACCTGTTGCTTATTAAAATAACTTCATTATGCTTAAAAATCATAGCAGGCAACTATCTCTATAAATTAATATAATAATCGAAATATATCTAATCTTATATTTATAGTGAAAATATATAGAAAATAATTATAAATCAATAGTCAATATTAATTGATGATGAGTAATAATATAACATGCCATATCAGATGTTTTTCCAACACATGACGTTTTAATTTATTAAAGAACATAATACGCTTTATGATTACAAAAATAAATTTTCTGTTTACTTTTTTTTACTTTAATGTTTACTTATTATTTGTTGATCGATATAATGGCATATACTACTCTAATTTTTATTTGCATTGTGCAATTTTTTTCCTCGAAAGAAGATGTGTAATAATATATTTTTAATATACATTTTTCTTGTGTATAAATTTTGTGTAAGTTACTCTACGAATGATAATTTGGTTCAAATATGTACCTCGAAAAGAAACAATGATAAGATAGAATTTTGAAATACTTAATGCGATTTAACACATTTTTTTATCAATAAATACATCTTAAAAACTATCTCGCTTGACACGCGATTGCAAATTTTTTGCGAGTGACTTCGATGTCGTATGTATGTGATTACATGTTTTACGTTAAATACTTCAAGAGACGAAAATTATAAGCCACAAATATTTCGAAATTTTTAATTTATATCTGTAAAAATTTGTGTTTACAATAATGGAAAAAATTACAGAAAGTATATATTAATAATTTTTCGAACATTTGCAATCTATAAATAGTTGCCATTGAAATAAATGCATTTTTATATTATATTCTATTGTATTCGTTGTCATCTAATCATATATCAAAGCTGGGAAAATTTTATTTCGTGTTATAAAAAGATTATATATATATATATATATATATATATATATATATATATATATATATACAATCTTATATGTACTTAAATCTGAACCGAATATGTGTAATTGTTTTTATTTATTAAATATCTATTAAATATTCTATTATATAAATATATCAGTGAGATCGCGTGTTTTGTTATGTATGCAGATATCGCTCTAAGGAGAGACAGATCAAGCATAGAGATTTTTTTCTGTTTTTCTCATTACTCGATCCATGTTAATGACTTCCGCATAATGTACATAATGTGTCTTTCAATCTTTGACTCATCCTTTCCTCTCTGAACAGTCAAAAGGACAATTAGCTGTGTGTTCTAAACTTTAGGGATCTCGACCACGTCTGTGCACACACAAAACACACATACACACACATACATACACATTCTTTAAGATAAAAATATGTTATTCAGTGTAGCACAACTGGTTTGCACTGAATACCAATCTTCATTGTGACGTCCACTAATGTAATTTGCAACGATTGTAAACACGTAAGATATAGACGAGGGAGAGAGTAATTGATTTCTTCGATGAGGTTCGAAGGCAAACTGCGAATATAGACATATCTTATTGATATTCTAAGAAATTATTGTCGGTACTTAAATGCACATATGTGGAATGTATTTAAAAAAAGCGTTTATGAGAGTGATTTTTACATTTATATGTATACTGAGGAAAATCCTTAGTTATTCAAACTATTTTATAAATAATAATTTATTTAGATAATCTCTAAACAACATAAAAAATATATGTCAAAGATATATATTATTTAAAGATATTTTTCGTTGTATTAATTAGCTTGTTTATTATAGTTAATACCATAATTTATAAAAAGAGCACAATTTACTAGTTTAATTTTAACACAGCTTGTCAATTCGAATTTTATTTTATTGATATAAAACAATCGTTCGATTTATTCGATTATTTTTTTATGTGCTGGGGAGAGTCATCATTTTTAAAAATATTTTTGTACTATATTATGTTAGATTAAGTTAAACAAAAATTTTTTAAGCAATTAATCGCAGAGAGAAAATTATTTTATGATCTTCCATTTCTATAAATTAAGGAATATATCATAAATTTTATAGAAATAACACATATGTAGATGTATTTTTTCTAACTTTTTGGAACGTCTATCTTACGTGTATACGACCGTGTGTCTATCCTTTGTAGAAATGCCTTATTATCACGTGCCTCAATAATATTTAAACTGTTCACCTGCTTATACCTACTACTTGTTAGTTTATGTATAACGAATATATATATATATATATATACATATATATATATGTGTGTGTGTAATATCAAGTTATTCTTTGTACTGCTCTTGTAAATATATTCTGGAGAATTAATGTCATCCTGTCGTCTATATATACTCTGTATACTATATTTATACATTATTTTTATGACCGCTTTCTATATTTATCAAACCACCAAACAAATATTTCACTTTTCATCTGTCTAATCACCCTGCAAAAAAATTAAATTTTTATATGTATATTTTACACATTTAAAAAGCATATTTAATTTCTGATGTTAGAGATTTCATAAATTGTTAAGTATATTATTCTTTTTAATTTCTTTTTACTCTTATTATTTACACGGAATAAAACATTAATATAATTACATTATGTAATTAAAAGATATATAGAGCTTTATCAAGATTCAAATATGTTAATTCCAAATTTCGAATCTTTAGATTTGATTTCGAAAATTAGAAATTTATTTTTAAATTCAAGCATATTTTTGATACATATTCTTTTTTTAATTCATTTCTTTTTTTACAAGATAGCTACAGTTTCTCTGCAAATTATCTCGTGTCCTTATCGCATGCTTAATATACACAAAATCCGATTCCATTTTCCTCGCTTTTTCACGCTGCGTTTTCTTCTTTCTCTCTTTCTCTTCCCTCGTGTAATTATTTTTACATATTGCGTACATCCGTTTCCGATTGTACACAAAAACCGCTGAAAATGTATCATTAGCATTAGTATAATTGTGTAATCCCATGCTCTTTTATTCCAGCATAATATATCATCTTGGCACGAGCGTTATTAAAATTTATACATTGCACACGATGCTGAAAACTGGAAGATGATTGATCGCATAAATTTTTTTAATCGACACGAGAAAAAAAATGCGAAGTCACTATTAAACGCTATGTAATTAATTTTACATAAACATGGAACACAAGAAGTGAAATTTAAAAACAATTAAGTATGTCATACAAGAAAAATAAGAATTAATATATTATATTGCAAAAAGTTTTTTTTTATTTGAAATTTAAATTTATTTTTCTTGATTTCTTCGCCTGACGATTGATAATTGTCATCTTGATTTATATATCAAGCATATACATTATATCTTATATAACATTTATATTTACGTAATATATATATATATATAATAAAATCTTATAAGTGACATGGTGTCATTTAAATTTAAATTGCACGTGATTTCATTGCAAGTACTGAAGATGGCTACACTATCGTCGTTCTGTACAAAGTGCATAACCTAATATTTGTGATTTGTCAAATAATGTAATGAAGCATATATGTGTTTTAATCGTAAATAAATTTATGTACGAAATCGTGATTTTTTTTGTAATAATATAAATTAATAGAGGAAATAAATCTTAACGAAAAATGCCGCAAAAACTTTCAATGGTAATTTAAACCATCATTATTTTAAATTTTCTACTATTTTCATTAAAAAGATATGTTTATTATATAGCAATAATGACAAGATTTACACATAAATATTAAATTTATTTCAGAATCACAAACGCAGCAGCAACAGTAAAAAGAGTGTGCCGCAAACTTCTGTTCCTCCTAAAGCAGTAGATGTGAACAGCGCAAGTGGTTTAACCCCAGAAGTGGAGGATAAATTTGAATTGGAATTATGTTGGTGTATACAGCAGTTAGAAACATGTTTAACTAGCGGCAAATTGCATGGGAAGCAGGAGCAGGATTTCAAGAAACATTTACATTTATTAAAGAGCAACACTGTGCCATTGATAAAAAAAAGACAAGCAATGAGAAATACATTGGGAGATTATAGAGAGAAGATGGCAGAAGATGAACGGAAGCTTATTAGAACTGTGTCAACTGTCAAGTTTACAAGTCCTGCTTCAATAAATAAAAAATCAATGTTTATCAGGAAAGCCATTCAACACGATGCACAGGAATTCAGAGAACAGTTAAACGATCATGGAACACAAGATGGATTAGTTAATACAAGGCAGGCTATTATGGACAGTAATAAGATGCAAACTTCATTTCAATTTAATTTTTAGACACATCAATAAAAAATGCAATTTTTTACATATTAATATAATGTATTATACTACTTGTACAATGCTATCCTAATCCATATTTTGTTTAAACACTACTCTTGCTCTTATTCTTTTTAATCAAGGAATTATTTAGAAAATGTAGAATATACGTTGTATTATAAAGCAATTTTAATTAAGTTATTATGCAACTATTTTTATATACATATTGAGGAGAGAAGAAAATATGCTTCCATTTTTTCAAGTTTAGCACATTTTGAGAGAAATTTTGAATATATATATATATATATATATGTATGGAATAATTTTTGATGATAGTGAGGGTGAAAAATATTCCAAAAATTGTAATAATTGAAATTTTTAATGATTTTATGAAAACTGTTATAATTATTAAATAATAACTAAATATTTAAAATGATATTTTTAAGCCACATGTGGAAAGTAGGTCCTGTGGCGCAACGGATAACGCGTCTGACTACGGATCAGAAGATTCCAGGTTCGAATCCTGGCAGGATCGAAAATTTTTTTACTATTTTATTTTTCTCGATTTAACAAGTATATTTTCTACTTTTGTGTGCGTAAAAAAGATATACATTTACAAAAATATCCGATGAAGAAATTTCATTTTAATGTCTAATTAAAATTTACATAAATTATTTTCAGCCATTAATTTCGCTATATATAGCTTCTTTTCCTTGGAATAATTTTTTTCGGAATAATTATTTCTCGGAACAATTCTTTCTCGGAATAATTCTTTCTTCGAATTCCGTTGAATAAATCTTAATCGATATGCATACATAAGAAGTTTACGCAGTCAAATATTAGATTAAAGCATGGTTCACCATGTCATAGATTGATACGTCGCATGATCATCAGCCAATCGCTTCTCGGAAACGCGGTCTCCCATTCACGAGAGCAATTGTTCGTTTATTACTAATACGTGACCTTTGGCATATATATATATATATATATATATATATATATATATATATATATATATATACCTATCCTCGACGTCCCCTTCTTGGAACAAAAAACTTAATCATATCGTTATTAATCTATTTTACGCGTGTTCTCGATGACTCACGTCTATTATGCAAGAGTAAAATAAAGGTTCGAACGTGCGCAAACTTTTCGAAGGGTGAGTAGACCTTCTACAGCAGGCATGTAATCCGCGGCCCATCGTAATTAGGGAAAATGGCTGACGATTCGTCGAAACATGTTTTGACAATTGCAATTGATTGAGTCCCGATGTGCCACGAAGAATTACGTCACGGTAGGAAGCAATTTATAACAGATCGTCCGGCCGAGTATCGTCGCGATGCTCAAATCCGGCTCTGCATTCGCGTTCCGCGAATCATCGCGCGCCTGTCTCATGTGCTAACTTGCTCGAACGTGTTCTTCGCGTTATATTTGCCATATCGCATGTCGGAAGATATATTGCGTTCTCGAGAAGAAGTTGGTATCATTTATTTTTTTGTTCTTTTTAATTGTTGTCTTCTGGCTCTTGCAAAAGTACTGTCGAGTGCTATCGAATAAATAGTGTAAGCAATAATGTATAATTTGTGTTATTCGCGCGGCCATCAGGCTCTCGCGTTGGCCTGTCATTTTCTCGTCTCGCAAATTGTCACGCGTGTGAAACAACATTTGTTTTAGTGTACTAGAACACACCCGCGATTTAGCTTGATATCGAGAAACGTGAATCATTCGTGTTTAGATGCCATTATTATGTTATATGATACTTTGTGTATGCAATGTAGATGATTATGCAAGTAAATTTTTCTTAATATCAATGTTACGCTAATGATTTGTCATTTTGTTTAGGTGAAAATGCTACATACCTGCTGCATTCTCTGACGTAACATCCTCTGGACACTAGGTGGATGTAGTAGAATTTGAGAAGTTACCATCGCTGTGTTAACACCGAAAGAGAGAGACCGCATCATGTGTCTTCTGTAGTTTCTACAATCATGGTTTAGACTAAGGGTCATTAAGGCAATAAAATGCCTGCCAGTTTAGTTAATAATGGGACAGCATTTTGCTAGTCTCAGAGAGTTCTTTAGAATGGACGGTGAAAGACAAGCTGCTGAGATATGCGCTAGCGCGCTCAGCCAACCATTGCCCCTGGAAATGGTGAATCGAGATATCACCGAGAGTCTGTCCGAAAACGAGACCAATGGCAATGTACCTGTAATGAACTCTAATATACTGCCGAACAGACTAGAATGTAAACTAGAAGGAAATTTGGACAACGATCGTTTAAACTTAGATGTAGACAACCATAATTCTAGATTCGAATCTTTGTATAGTCAACCTGTTGAAGCTCAGGATACAAAGCAAGTTTGTAATAATGGCAACGTTACTAATGAATCGTCGTTTAGACAGCAGCAGGAAGCGTGCTGCAGTAGTTCTAGTAGTAGCAACAGTAGTAGCAGTTCCGAAGATAGTCCCATAAATCCACCATTGAGAAGATCGTCTAAAACTTTATCATTTGGAAAGAGAAAGAGTATGTATACTAAATTTCTTTTTATGTACAAACTCTAATTATGTCCCTCTTGTTGACATTAATTATAATATGTTTATTAGATAAGCAGCGCAACAAGGATCAAAGTCCAGTTTGTAATCACGTTTTATCGTCGAAGAAGAAGCGTAGCAACTGGGTGTTGAAATTTAATTGCGCCAAGAGCAAAAGCTCCAAAAACACGGACATTATTCCCGGTCAAGGGAGTAATAATTCAGATTGCGTATGTACAGGTTACAGAAGAACCGAGGAGCATCCTATGGGTGCGGGCACCGTATTTAATAGTCGATCCGCTCCGCAAAGTCCCGTTCTCGGGCCACTGCCACCTAGCCCCGTAATTGATTTATCGCGATTTAATCCCGAAGAATTTCCTATGGAAGTATGTTTTTGTTTCTTTTTTTTATACATATATAATTTATAAAACTGAAGAGAACTTTTAACATTAAGGACTCAATTTAATTGAATCAATATTCTTTATTTTTAAAGGATTGTGACGAACGCGCGCGAATACAACGCGCTCGAGAGATGGAGGAAGGGGTCGAACCCCCTCCTGGTTATAAGCCTAATTATCCTACGGGAATACAAGTTCATCCTAATGGAATAACAGTGGACAGTTTGGCGGCATTGTTCCAAGCACATGCCGGTATTCAAGCTGCCGCTCTCACAGCCTTATCGCAGATCGACTTTACATTAATTCCAAATATTGAAAGACCCGCTCATACGCAGGTAATGAGCTTTTTATTTTTTTATTTTTTTTTTTTATTGCAATTGATTGTGAAATTTATGAATTTTTTTGTTTATATTTTTAAAGCAATTTATAAATTTTTATTACGTCAGGTCGACTATGTCCACTGCCTCGTACCGGATTTAAGGTCGATTACTGCCTGCTCTTTTTACTGGGGTAAGATGGACCGTTACGAAGCGGAACGCTTATTGGAGGGCAAGCAAGAGGGTACCTTTCTGTTACGAGACTCTGCGCAGGAGGAATTTTTGTTTTCTGTGAGCTTTCGCAAGTACGGACGTTCGTTGCACGCGCGGATCGAACAGTGGAATCATAAATTTAGCTTCGATTCGCACGATCCAGGAGTTTACGCTTCCGAAACAGTACGTGTATATAAATATATATGTGCATTTATATTCCTAAAATTTCTTCTCATAAGTATCAGGTGTGAAATAATTACGATTTGTCGCGCCCGATTATACATTATATATATATATATATATATATATATATATATGTATAATTAATATTACTTAAATATAAAATTAAATTTTTTTACAGGTATGCGGTTTAATCGAACATTATAAGGATCCGTCATGTTGTATGTTTTTCGAACCTATGCTCACTATTCCGTTGCACCGAAATTTCGCATTTCCGCTACAGCATCTGTGTAGAGCGGTGATAACCACGCGGACAACGTACGATGGCATAAACAAGCTGCAATTGCCAAAGACACTCAAGAGTTATCTCAAGGAGTATCACTATAAGCAGAGGGTGCGAGTCAGGCGGTTAGACACGGAAAGTGATCTACAGACAGACTGCAGATCCATATCATGCTTGCCGATATGAGTCTTCGTGTATTAATATTCGATGAAACTTTATCATATGTTGCGCAATTATATTTCTTTATTGTCATTCTGCGCCGCCGTATTAAATGCGAGCGGTATGCATTATGCATGCACATGCATTGTAATACCAGGAATACCATGACTCCGACCCACAATTACACAGGACATTATTGCAATATTAGCAATAAAAGCAGTATATTCATCTTAAGGTGGACATACACTGAGCGAAGGGACAACGAATCAACGAATGCGAATATTCATTGTTAAAGTTCAGAAAACGTTATAATTGCAAACCTTCATCAGCGTTAGAGTCACTTATGAAAATACAATTCAATGCAAATATTTGATATAACACAAAATAAAGCGATGAACATTTGCTTTGTGTTCGCTCAGTATATATCCACTTTTAAACGATAATAGCTTCCACAGAGGGAAAACAGTGTAGTTATAATTTAAAAAGAAGAAAAAGGAAAAAAAAATTAGTGGGACTTGTGCAAAATATGTGCAAAACTTATGCGCGCGACAGGTGCCTATGTTCCCTCGAAAAAGTAATTCAATATGTAAATACGTCAAACTGACAATGCTTCGTATACACACGCACAGCATATTACGGAAATCGTTTACCGTATTATGTAAACTTCAATATCTCATTGCTACTGTTCTTATTATTACTGCTACTTTTATTTCTCTATTTTATTCCTGACTATGTTATCTTTTAATCGTTATTTTGAATATGTACTCGAGTATCTTCTTGAGTATATGTATAATTTGATGTTAATTAAACTTACGCGTACAGTTTGTACATTGATAATTTTTATAGAACGATACCAAAACTTATGCCTTTGAAAGGCGCGGCAATTTAGTCTTTTAGAAATTTTATTATAAAAAATTATGTCATCAAATTTTTAACCTTTATACGTAACTAAATGTAACTAAAGTTACAAAATCATTGCAAGATCTGGTTCGTATTACTCCTATTGTGCCTATTTATAATGTTAAATATTATTAGGTGAACGCTGTCTGTGTTCATGTTCATCATTGGCAGATAAAAAAAAGTCTACAATTTGTGTAAATTATTTAAATTTTGAAACGTGGAGGAGATATCAGATGCAATGAATTGAACTTGGAGTAAAACAATGCAAATCATTAAAATGATAAATTTGCAAAGTATATAATATTATAGTATGAAATTGTTAAAAGTATTGGTTAATGGTTACTCATATAATGAACTTCGTATTAATAAAAAATTTAATATTTATGTGTACATATTTTTACTAATATTTTTAGTTTCCTAATTAATGATTATATTTCTTTATTGCATCTATACTTGGATTATAAAATAAAATTTGTCTGAATTTGAAGAATATATTTAATGAAGAGGCTAATAATATTTTTATACTTACATTTAAGTTATTAGATTATATATTTTGCGAAGTGTAAATGGTGCAATCTTGTAAGCTGTAATATATCTTTTAATACGTTTGAAAATTCATTTCTATAAGTATTAGAGTATATTTTACAAAAAGATCAGTGGAACTTAATGTACAATTTTGTGATACATTTTAATACTTTTATATTTACTAATATTTGTAACAATTCTAGTTATTGCTGAATCTTGTGTTAAATTTAATACTATTTATTATTTTAAAGCTTGTATTTTTAATATATGTAGTTGTTCACAATCACAGACTTGCTTTAAAAATATGCGGAATGTTGAAGCAATATATTTTTTTGATGTTGCATAAAAATATGATTATAACAATGGATTAACTTTCTAGCATATATTGTGTGATTGGCAGCAGTACTTTGTAGTTGAAGACGAAGAAGAGAAAGAACGAAGCTAGAAAAAATATATCTATTATATTATAGTTAAGAAAAATAACTAAAATATTCTCTTGAGAATGAGGTTATAAGTATTATACATGCATTACTTTTTATACATTTGATTTTATCACAGTTGCAAAATTCAGCGTTGTAGTTATACATTTTTTTTCATGTTATAAGAAACGGTTTCATAATGATGACATCATGAATGGAAATGTAATAATAACAATTGTAAAGGATACTGATGAAATTTCTCTCCCATTCTTCCACCATGTATAATTCGGTGACAAGCGTGTACCGAAAATACCAATACTTCAGGAAAGATTGTAGACTTCGTATAGGATTAATCATTATGATTAACAATTAAGTAATTATATATTAATCCCTTATTACTTGATCCTTATCAAAAAATCAACTTTGGCCTAGATAAGACTAGACAATCTTACATACTATCCTTTAGCAAATTTAAAGGCTTGTTTCCATCAATTTAGGAATGTACACAAATTGAAGAAAAAGAAATGTATATAAATCAGGATATATATTATCAAAATATGTAAATGAAATCTACGCAAGATTCTGAGAAATATACTTGTCAAATTCTTTCAGTGCTCTCTGCATCTCTTGATATTTCGCGAGATCGCAAGCCTCGCTCAACGAAAGCCACTCGAATGCCTGGTGTTCATTCGACAGCCTGACAGACTTGTCCGGATTGATGAGCTCCGCTAACCAATAAATGACAATCTTCGGCATCCCGTTTACTTGATATGTCATCTCGTGTTTCGCGTCCTCGAAGATCCTGAGATCGCTGGACACGAAGCCAGCCTCCTCCTGGGTTTCGCGCAACGCCGTCTCCATGTCGGATTCACCTGGATCGACGTGACCTTGGGAACACGTCAAACATCAAAATCCGACTGTCAAAATTCAATTAAGCGGACACGATGATGGAATGCGAGGAGGGAGAAATAATCTTTTCAATCGATTCATTTGACAGGTCGTTGAGCGAAGAAACGTATCGGGATGTACGGGATTTATCTGACACAGACCTTTCGGAGGTGTCCAATGATGTTGTCCATATGATGTCTGCATCAAGAGAAACTGGATGGTGTCTTGAAATCGCCGAAAAATGACGAGGCCGCAAGCACGTTGTTGCATGATGGATGATTTTCCGTATTCGTAAGATTCTCTATTCTAAATTTCTCCTATATACTTCAATCAGCTGTTCAGTCCTCTATACTCAAATCAGCTGTTTCCACATTTGACACGTGACTCGAATACGAATTTTAAAAGAGGAGCAAGTTTTTAATACTCAATCTTAATAATTTGCAAACTTTTAAGCATGTAACAATAGATGGTACGATTACAATAATTGTGTAAACAGATATCGTAAATTTTTACGAATTTAAATTTTTTTCTATGTAATAATAAATATTTTTCTCATATGTTTAATTTCGTATTGTAAATAAATATTTTTACAGACAACACGATAAAATATTTAATTCAGTGCATTTAATGTGATAAATTCAGCGGCTTTTCATGATTGATGTAAGTTCTAAATATTTTATAGATATTAAATATACCTATCGATCGGCAGAATATGAATATAAAAAAAATAAAGCAAAAAATGAATTCCAAAGAAATATGTACATAAATCATTCATAACTCTAAGTGTAATCCAATCAAGAATTTAAATTTAAATTATGTAAGCTAAGAGATATCGATTATTAATTTAATTAAAATTTTTTTCTTTATTTATAGTATGATAAAAAATTTTAAAAAGCACATCTTGAAGACTTAAAATATCATCTATTTTTTATAACATAATTAAATAAAAAATTTATTTGATAATCAAGACGTGTAAATGATTTAAAACACATACCATAAATTCTCCTCGTTCATTTATGCAATTTTGATGGATGTTTCTTAAAATATTTGTAATTCTCTTATACATTTTTTTTTCAAGCAATGGTCTTCAAGTATATGTTTAGGGGAATGCAGTTTTATTTTTTATAACATTGATATTGTATTAGCAATATTATAAGTTATCCAACATAGATATTCATATCTTGTCTTGTTTAAATTATCAGCTGCCCTTTGTACTTTTTTCCAGCGAATTTATAATTTAAGTGAAAGTGAAACTTATATGTATATTGAAAACTTTATCGACTAGATAAACTTGTCATATAATAAATTCTTCTAATTCTAAAAAACGTATAATCTCAGATGCGACGCTGACGGCTTTGCTTTCGAGCGAAATATTTTTCGTATTTATTATACATCGCAATTATATATATGTACACACACTAATTGACAGTGTTAGAAGAAAAAAATTTATCTGTAAGAATTTTGTATGCAGCATCAAATCGAATTATATAGATCTTAGAAAAAAAAGAAAAGAAAAGAAAAAAGAAATGATCGACAGCTCATGTATCGATATGAAAACGCACACGTGTTTTTGACGTTTTTGACAGGAATCTGAATCTCGGGAAACAATGCGTGTTACCATTTTATTATAAACGTTTCGCTACATTTTGGCTAGATACCGATCACCAGAAAACATTTAGCAAAGCTGTATGTACCTATCTACAGAGACTGACATGTGTCTGTGTGTGTGTGTGTATGTATGTATGTATGTATATTTATGTATGTTCCAGGTAGCAAGGTATATCATTTAGACGTCATTAGGCATCAAAGTCTAATGACGTCACTTTGACATCTTTGCTACTTGGGGTGTATTATGCGTGTGCGAGCAGATGCATAGCTGTACGGGCAACTCACATACATATACACGCGAGAGAAATATGCATATTTCACGATGCGCTTATTTTACGTACAAAAGAAAGAAAGAAAAAAAAAGATCACAAGAAGACTCCTCTCCGACGTTACGTAGAGTCGGATTCCAAATGTCGCCCGTGCAGCTCTGCAATTTTATTAATCGGTTTTTTGATAAATTCTTTTCTCACGTGTGTTAAAATCATGAAATGTCCTTAGATTTATATCTCCTCCTTTTTTCTCTCTCTTTCCTTTCGATCGAAGGGTATAATTTATACATTTATTTCGTAAAGCAAGCGAGCGAAGGGTGGGTTTTTATGTATAGATTACGGTATATAATTAATTCGTCTATATGCCGGAGGGAGGGGGGGGGGAGGAATTTACCATTAATGCTATCTGAAGGGGCCTTACTTTAACATTAATAATAATAATTACTATTATGGTGTGTATCTGTGTATGTGTGTGTGTATATATACTTCTATAGAGTCATTTTCTTACAATAACCGCTTTCGGATTACATTTCTTTTTTTCCTTTTTACAAGATGGTATAATGATGTTCAGTAATTGTAATACTAATTCTGATTGCTGTAGGAACAAACGAAACTTTCGATCATTATATCCTCCAGTCTAATTTTCTAATAACAGTGATTGGGTCTCTCTTTCTCTCTTGGAGGGGTATAAATGTTTGCGTTCTTGCAACTTGACTCTTCCTGTGAATCTCGATATAATTACTATAATCGCTATTATTATATTATATTACATTATTTTGCTTATTGGTTGAGATGGAGTAATCCGACGACACGAAACTGGTATGATTATACACAAAGAAGGTAAGTCCCGATGCCAGTGCTGCGTTTAATCATCGTAGCACTTAAAATCTTTATCAAGATGTTCGGTAACAGACAATTGGCGCCGATACTTAGTTGCTATCAGTCGTTTCACGATTCGCAACACGATGTACCGATTGTACATGGTGTCGGTGCGCTGAAGTTAATCCGTATTTCTCGGTGTAGCAAGTGTTAGAAATGTGAAAAATCATTGAGTTTATATAGTATGTAAATAAATTAGTCATTGCCTATTTTTAGTATAACATACTTCATTAATCTTAGGCAAATATAAAAAGTTTGCGATACTCGAGTTCCGAAGTGTATGATCTTGGTGTGTGTGAGGTTTCTCTTTCTCACTCTTTCTCTCGCTCTCTCGCTCTCTCACTCTCTCTCTCTCTGTCTCTCTATTAATTTAGTACCTTCATAATATATATTACATACACCAAGTCTCTCTAGTTCGCTTCTACTGTGTACAGTGTAATTCCTAATTTTATTTCATTCAACTGCAAATATCTTTGCGAATGAAAGGATTTTAAGTGTAATACAATATAGCCAATTACAATACTTAAATTTATAAATATTATCGTATCCTTCGTGTAGAAATAACAGATCTCGTTATTATTCTGATTTAATTTAGATTTATATAATTTCAACTCTTTGAAGAATGATGAAGTACTTGCGTGTATTATTCACATGAAATGCGAGTGATAATAACTCGATGATATTCCTAAATTATGTTAATAACTTCTCTGCTTCTCTACCTTCATATAGTATTGTGTATACTATATATATTTGTCGTTTCTATGATAGAAATAAACGTATTATTAATAATAATTATACGCTTTAATTATAATTGGCTAATCTATATAGTGCTGCGTATTTTCAAAAACTTATACTCTACAGATAAAAAAAAAGAAGTAAAATATCATAAAAATGTTCGACAAAAAAAATAAGCATGTCGCACACACGTTGTGCAACACAAATTAAAATAGCTCAATTCGTACATATTCGTAATTTAATTATTTCGGTTAATGTGTATGATTAAAATAAAGGTAGATTCTCAATACATAATGCTACGCGTATCCTTCGATCAGATTTTGTCAAATTGTTTACAGGCAAAACTCGCGCTCGGAAATTTTTTAATAATATTTTTTAAAAACAAAATCGAAAAAAAACAAAGTTATATGAAGACTTCTCTCTTGATGTTGTAGATGCAATGCTTTAATCTTTTACTTTCCGCAAGAATGGAAATAGAACGCGTTATTTTATAGTACAAGGAACATTGTTCCCGTGAAAGATGTAATCTATGTGAGAGATACTTCATTAGGCACATTTGATGATCCAATTGGAATCTGCACGTTCCAATTCTACTTTAATCTTTCAACATTTTCATGACAGCATAATACGATTCCACATTTCAAAAACGTAACTCGAATGCAGCTTCAACATCAAGAATAAACACAAGACATATAATACTGTTTAGAAATGAAGCGACAGTTTATGATAGATGGATTAATCAAAGAATCGATGGGGCAGGTCAACCTGTAAGCATGACACTGATTTCTTTCATTCGGATGCACGTTTCCCTGTGTTATCGACAATGAAAATTCGAAACTAATAAACTAATAGATTATTGTGTCCAACGTAACAGCTTCGTACATCAGGTCCGTTCGTTTCTTTCATCTTTCAATTTTTTTCGCTTTCGAGGCATTATGAGGACCCGACCTAGTTCTTCATTTTGGCACTCGGGAGTATTTTTAAATACATATTAGCCGTCACGGATCACAGTTTCGAACGTTTTTTTTATCAACGAACCGTTAATAATGATACCCTCCAACGCAGACGAGAACATCTTTCTCTTCTCTCTCATTCTTCCTTTCCCTTTTTCTCTAAATCTTACGACGATACGTTGACCTCGGAGAAAGGGGAGGAAGGAGAGCAGAGGAGAGTCTCGTTTAAACGAATATTTCTTGGGTATCGGATTCGGAGTCGGAGTCCCAGAAGAAGAAACAAGAGTAAAACTCCTCGTTGACCACCGCCACTTGGTGGCTACGTTCACGAGGTCGTTATGGATTGGCGCGATTGGCGGCTAGGGCGCCCGTAGCCGACAGTCACAGCTTGAGCTCGTTTGCGATCTTGCTGGCGATATTTTTGAAACCGATTGACGTGCCGGAGATACGCTTGAATCGCACCCCGTTTAGAGATAGTCGTGGCAGTTTGCAGACCTCGATCTCCCACTGCACCTGGCTGTCAGTGGCCGCTTCGCCGTGCGCACACAATAAAAGAAATCGTTCGCGTTGCTCGTACTGGCATTTGTTAGCATCCAACACCTGGAATCACGACACACAATATTAATAATAATGCTAATAACGCGTCTACTTCTATCTCATACAAAAACAATGCATATATCATTCTTCATCTACGTCTACGGATTATGTCTTGCTTAGAAACATTATATATTTTTCACTAATCTTATGTGAAGTGGATTTCGGTTAAATCAGCTGGTTTTTTCATGTTGTAGCTTATTATTGAGTTTTTCATGTTTGACTAATTGTAAATTATCTATTATTTTGTAGCTTTGAGCTTATTACATTTTTTGTGCAGCAAGTCATAAGAACATGTGAGAAAACCAGATTTTAGAGGGATTCAATTTCATCTAGGATTTCATACAAATTCTGCACTAATCCTATATATATACAATTGAATCTTAGTAAAATCTTCTGGTTTTCTCATATATTCTAGCTTATTGATTTGCTGAATAAAAATGTAATAGGCTTAAAGCTAAATCATAAATAGTTACTGATTGTAAATCAGTCAAATATGAAAAACTTGATTGGCTGTAATTCAATAATTGTCCATTATTTAGCTTTGAAGCTATTACATCTTTTGTTCAACAAGTCGTAAACTACAACTTATGAAAAAAATTGGCTGATTTAAACCACTTTACAAATCCATTTTACATAAGATTATAGTGCGAGATATTGTATACTTTTATAATATAAATAATGCTTTTTTTCGATACCTTTCGAATCTCAGACATAATTTCATTAGGGTCTCGACTACTGGTAGTTTTCATACTCCACGTGAAACGTAGACTGCGCGGCTTAACTTGTTCATCGTTAGTGGTAGCTCCGCTGTAACAAAGAGATATCTTAAACCCGTCCAAATTATATAATTAAAGGGTGATTCCAATGCAATTATAATTGTTTATAATTATAGGGACTAGGATAATTGAAATGTGTTTTCTCAAGGTAATTTATACGATAAAATTCTCACAACACTTTTGCATTTCGTCAAATATTTTTCTTTCTATTTAATTTTAAATGACATAAATTTGTCCGTATTTATATTTCTTCTAGCAAATTTTTATGTATATGTATATATTATCAGAAATCATTTATCAATATTAAACTAAAAAAATAGATATATTATGTAATGTGAAAATGCAAATTTTACAGAATGATGTATATCTAAAGCTTTAAGCTTGCTTAGTTGCGTAATAATAAACTTTTAATTCGTTTCAAGGAGAGACGATGTGATGCT